GCAGTATTCCAAGTTCCTTAAAGTCCAGGACGGCTTCACTTACCCCTCTCTGGCCCCTGCAGCGCCCCTGTGCCTACAGGCACAGGGAAGGAGTTGTATAAATGCTTATTGGTCTGAGCTCACTGCTGAGACAGCTGCTTCAATGGGGGCCTGTATGGAAAGCAGGCCCAGTGCCTGGCACATAGTAGGTGCCCACCAAGTCCCTGCCTGATCTCTTTGGCCCAGGGCCAGGGTCACAGAGGCAGTGCTGCCCAGAGTGTTTATCTGAAGATGGGAAGGGTCCTAGAGACCAGAACCCTGCAACCTGGTCTCAGCTCACCAGGGACGCAGCATATTTTGACACCCAGCTTCTCTTGGTCCTGGTCGTCGGCAGTGTGGGACCAACTGCTCCCCTGACAGGCAGCACTGGGGCAATGTGGAGGTTCCTGCTCCTTCATCCAAACGCTCCTCATCTCCATGATGTGCAGCCCCATGCTGCCTCCCCCATGGATGACAGGGGAGGGTTCACGGTGCGCCAGTCCCTGGGCTGGGGGCTTTACACACTTTGCCATATGTGCCTCAGCTAGATACAGTGCCCAGATGCAGTCAGCCTTTGCCGTGGGTCACACATATATGTGCTTAGTTGCTCAGTCATGTCCGACTCTTTGTGACCCCATGGACTGTAGCCCGCCAGGCTCCTCTGTCCATGTGGATTCTCCAGGCAAGAATACTGGAGTGGGTTGCCATGCCCTCCTCCAGGGGATCTTCCTGACCCAGGGATTGAACCCAGGTCTCCCACAGTGTAGGCAGATTCTTTACCATCTGAGCCACCAGGGAAGCTCATGTATAAGTCAAGAGAAATGAGACCCAAGGATTGACTCCAAAGTCCGAGGTTGTTTGTTTGTTTTTTTATAGTTGTTTTACAGTGTTGTGTTAATTTCTACTGTACAACAAAGTGACATAGTTATACTCTTTTTAAAAAACAAACAACTCACTTGAAAATAGTTTTTATATCTTTCTTTTTTGGCTATGCTGAGGCTTTGTTGCTGCATGGGCTTTTCTCTAGTTGCAGAGTGGGGCTAGTCTTTAGTTGCAGTGTGCAGGCTTCTCATCACGGTAGCATCTCTTGTTGTGGAACATGGGCTCCAGTAGTTTCAGCATGTGGGCTCAGAAGCTGTGGCTCCTGGGCTCGGGAGCACAAGCCCAATAGTTGTGGTGCACAGGCTTAGTTGCTTTGCAGCATGTGGGATCTTCCCAGATCAGGGATCGAATCCATGTCTCCCACATTGGCAGTAGATTCTTTACCACTGAACCACCAGGGAAGCCCTCCCTATATATATATTTTCATATTCTTTTCCATTCTGGCTTATCAAAAGATATTTAATACAGTTTTTTGTGCTATACAGTAGGACCTTGTTGTTTATCTATTCTATATATAATAGTTTGCATCTGCTAATTCCAAACTCCCAATCCTTCCCTCCCCACCTCCCTCTCCCCTTGGCAACCACAAATCATGCCTATGAGTCTGTTTCTGTTTTGTAGATATGTTCATTTGTGTCATATTTTAGATTCCACATATAAATGATATCATGTATTGTCTTTCTCTTTCTGACCTACTTTGCCTAGTATGCTAATGACTAGTTCTATCCACGTTGCTGTAAGTGGCATTATTTCACTCTTTTTTAATGGCTGAGTAATATTCCATTGTGTGTATGTATGTGTATGTTCTTTGCTCAAGTCTCAGATCAGGTACTCTGTCTGAGATACCTTCCCTGAATATTCACCCCACCCATGGGTTGGTGATGTTTCCATTCTGGGCTTGGTAGTTCTGCTACTCTTCATCTGGTCATGCTCAGTTGTTGCCATTTTCCCTTAAAAAAACATGAGCTCCATGTGGTCAGAAGCCGCACCTACTTTATCTCCATCCGCCCAGCCCCTAGCCCAGGGCCTGACACAAAGGAGGAGCTCAGCTCAGTGGCTGGTTGACCAGTGAATATATGGATGCTTGGGGGCCTACAAGAAACAGATGGAGGGTGGGAAGGTCAGTGGGTAGATGAGGAATGAATGATAGATGACAGATGTGTCAATGGGTGATGGATAAATTACATGTGTTGGACAAATGAGAAAGAGATGTCAGATGGATGACAAATGGGCATGTGGATAGATGCATGATAAATGGAACAGATGATGGGTGCTGGATAGATAGATATTGCATGGATGGGTAAATGTTGTAGAATATGCATGTTGGATGGTGAATAAATGTTGGCAGGATGGGTAGATGGATGTTGGATGGATTAAGGAAGGATACATGGATATAGGATGGATGAATAGATGAGGGGCTTCCCTGGTGGCTCAGACGTTAAAGCATCTGCCTGCAATGCGGGAGACCTGGGTTCGACCCCTGGGTCAGGAAGATCCCCTGGAGAAGGAAATGGCAACCCACTCCAGTATTCTTGCTTGGAGAATCCCATGGACAGAGAAGTCTGGTGGGCTACAGTCCATGGGGTCGCAACATGACCCCATGTCAGAGTCAGACACGACTGAGCGACTTCACTTCACTTTATATTGGGATAATAGATGTTGGATAGATGATGTAGGGTAGATTTTGGATGGTGGATGGATATATGGACCAATTGATGTTGTTTTCCAGATGGAAGTTAGATGGATGGATGATGAATGGATGGATAAGAAGTTGGATAGATGGATACAACCTGGGAAATAGCGTAATCTAAGCTGTGTTCTTTCTTATCTCCAGTTCCAATCAAAGGAGCCTGAGGAATCAGAACGAAGCAGAGTCCAAGACTTACTGACTGATCAGAAGCAGGCTGACTCGGTAGTTGGGTCATGGGGTCATGGGTGTGGGTCATAGGGAGGGGAGGGGACGGGAAATCAGGTAGGAGGTGGGCTGAGGTCCTGAGATGAGCTCTGGAGTCATCCAGACCAAGGCTGGCTCTGTCATGGGGTCACTGAGAAGAGGGGCTCTAGAGGAGCTGGGCAGCAGGACCACCTTCTGGCTTGGAGACCTGGGTGGGTGGACAGTCCTGGGGTCAGAAGCCCAGGGCTCCGCTTTCAACTTGCTAGGATGCCCTGAAAAGGTCACTGCCCTTCCCTGGGCAAATGGCAGTTTGACTCTCATAGTCTCGGAAGGCAAGGTCCTCCTGGGTCTGAAGGGCTGGCCACCCTGGGAGAAAGGGTAGGCTTCCCGGAGCTGGAGCCAGAGAGGCACTGAAGAGGGCCAGGGAGGTAGAGAAGTCAGCTGGGCCTGGAGGATCTCCAGGGTCCCGGGCGGGAGAGACGTGTGCAAGGGGCGGGACCCGCCAAGGCTGCTGGGAAGCCTGGCTGCAGCTGGAGCACATGCTCTGCCCCGCCCCTCCCCACGACCTGCCAAACAGACTGTTCTCATCACCCTCAGCCTCCAGAGAGGTGAGGTCAGAGCCGAGGGCCTGGGGCAGCGGGAGGCGGGAGAGGGAGCCCAGGCTGCTTGGGGCCACTGCTTCTCTAATCCTGTTGTTCTGCAGTTTCTCGTGTTGGCTCCTGAAAAGCCGGGTGTCACGGGGTGAGGGGGTGTCTGTCTGGCCTTGCTCCTAGCCTGAGCTGGGGGGATTCTGCCCGACCCCTGACTGTTGGGCAGAGGAGGAGACAAGGGGCAGGGCAGTCATCCTGGATCATACAGCCCGTTGGTGGCGGAGCTCAAATTAGGACCTGGGACTCAGAACCCCCCCCGCCCAGCCCTCTTGCTATTCCCCCCGCAACACCACTTCCCGGCTGTGCCCTGATTGCCTTGGTGGCCTCGCAGAGTAGAAGCAGCATGGGCCTAACTGCTTTGGGCCATCTGTGACGTGGGAGGTGATGGGGACTGGTCACTAAAGGGGCTTCCAGCTCTCACAGGGACTCTGGCAGCTTTGCTCTTCCTCTTTCTGTGTTATTTCTTCACACTTCCTGGGGCTGGAGTTTTGCGAACAAAGAGGAAATAGCAATACAGGGGTCCCCCTCTAGTCTCCATGAAATGGGCCTGCCCCAGCAACCCAGAAAACCTCTCAGCCCACCCCCAGGAAGCTGGACAGAATGGACAACTGCCTCATTCATTCATTCACTTACATACTTAGTGAGCACCTTCTATATACTTGGGTGTGGGCCAGAGGCGAACTGGCGAAGTGCCATCATGGAGCCCATGGTCTAGTGGTCAGGGCTGTGATGGGGATGTGGTGCGTGGTTGGGGCCATCCTTCTCCCCAGTGTCCTCTGGACCTGTGCTTTGATGCTTCGTGTCCCACATCCGGAGAATCTCTGGATGCTGGGGACTTGGGACACCTGGGTTCTGTTCTGCCTGTGCCAGTAGCCTCCTCTGTGACTTTGGGCAAATGCCTCTGCTTCACAGGGGCCTCAGTTTCCCCAACAAGTGAAGGTGAAAGTCGCTCAGTCCTGTCTGACTCTTTGAGACTCCCATGGATTATACAGTCCAGGAATTCTCCAGGCCAGAATACTGGAGTGGGTAGCCATTCCCTTCTCCAGGTGATCTTCCCAACCCAGCAATCAAACCCAAGTCTCCTGCATTGCCGGTGGATTCTTTACCAGCTGAGCCACCAGGGAATCCCCAGACAAGGATGACTCCAAAGGTGGTGCACTTGGGGGCTCTGCTGGGTATGACTGTAGATGTCTGGGACTCATTCCTTTCACAAAGGTGAGGAGAGCAGGCAGATGGGGGACTCGGGGTTAGGGGACACTTGGGTGACCTCTTGGCTCCAGAGGATTGTTGCCATGGGGAAGAGGGACCCAGAGTTTCTCCATCTTTAGATATTTCAAGAGAAGCTGGAAATATGTAGTTATGTGTTAACCTCTTGATTATTTAACACTGGAACCTAATGCAAAATAATCTGAAAACCCTATGCGGGCTGAACACACATCTGTGGTCTGCATTCCCCTCCCACTGGCTCCTTGGGGTCCAACTTGAGGGTGGAGAAGTGCACATTCCCAAGGGCTCTGAGCCCCCAGAGCCCTGCCAACCAACACCACATGGGTGAATGAGTTCACAAGCTCTTTTCTTGGCAGTTCTGGGATGGAGGAAGATGGCAACTCTGGGCCTTTGAGGTGGGCATGGCAGCATGGGCAGGGGAGGCTGTCATCAGGGACTCCCCCATCCCACCAAAGGGACCTGGGGGCCAACACTGGACCCTGTTTGACAGGCAGACAAGAGGCCAGCGGAGGGCAAGGCTGGGAGCCCACTCAAGGGCCGACTGGTGACCTCATGGCGGATGCCCGGGGACCGTCCCACGCTGTTCAATCCGTTCCTGCTGTCTCTGGGGGTCCTCAGGTGGCAAAGGGTAGGCTGGCTCCAGTGGGATGGGAGGGGCGAGGGTGGGAGACAGAGGGGGAGGGGAGGGAGGAGGCTGGTGTTAGGCAGAGGAAAACCATAGGGGCTGAGAGGGAGAGATGTGGTACCCACACGTGAGAAAGGAGGGCTGGAAGCAGAGCCCTGAGCTCCCTTGGACAGGAGGGGCCTGTCCCACCTGCAGGACCGGGCTGGGGCCACTTTCAGCTTGCAGGGTGAAGGGTGATGGAATAATCCACACAGCTGAAAGCTCCCAATCAGCATATAGGCCAAGGGGAGCCAGGCTGGGGGGAAGGGGGAGAGGGAGAGAGGGCCTGCGAGGGGCTCTGGGATTTCAAAGTGTGTCTGAGACCTGGGCCTGAGCCAGTTGCACAAACATCTGGCATTACGTAACCCATCCTTTACCCAGAGAGGGCTGTAAACACTCAGGCCTCTGGTTCGGGGTTTCCTCAAGAGTGGGGAGAGGGGAGGGGAGGCAGCTGAGACTTGCTCTCTCTGGCCCCTGCTTCACGGTGGAGGGAGCAGGCCTGGCCACCTTTAGGGGCCACAGGCTGGCTCGTGGGCTCTCTTCTCTCAGTGACAGGCTAGTTCTTGTACTCTGATAAGCTGGGGGTCTAGCTCTAAGCTGGGCACATTAGATGCTGTAATTAGACACAGTGTACACTCAGGGAGGTGAGGTGGACTTGCCCAAGGGTGCATGGCTAGGGTTTAGAGGAACCAGCCACTTGCTGATTTTCCTCATTTCTTGATGAGATCATGGCTGCAGTCAAACTCACCAAGCCTCAGTTGCCACATCTGTCTAACAGGAAAAAATTATATATATGCTGATTATCAGGGCTGTAGGGAGGACTGGCTCAGAAAGATCAGGATGTACAGAGGTGCGAGGGGGTGGGGTGGGGGGCAGCATTCAAACACTAACTTTCCCATTCGCTTCTTTTCTTTTTAGTATTTCAAAAATATATATATCTTGGCTCGGTTTATTTATTTTTGTTTATTTTTTGGCCACGTGGCACATGGGATCTTAGTTCCCCAACCAGGGATCAAACCTCTGCCCCCTGCAGGGGAATCGTGGAGTCATAACTACTGGACCGCTGGGGAAGTCCCCCATCCACTTCTTAATTTCCTCTCTGCTGCTCTATGGGGGTTAAGGCACAAGGATAACCAAGCAAACATGGTTATCTAGGCAGGGTGGTATCTTTAAGTCAGGGGCGGGAGTTACCTTATCAGCCTAACTAAAGGTCGCTAACACACAGTAGTTCTGGCAGGAGGGAGCAGGTAAGTCCTTGGTGGGAAAGGAAGGGAAGAGAAATGGGGAAATGGACTCTGGGATGCTGCTGGTGGTAATGATAACCAGCATTTATTGTACACCTACTATGTGCTTGGCTCTGTGTTCAGTGAGTGGCACACCTGATTGCATTGAATCGTCGCCCTTGGTGTATCAGGTATGGTTCACATCATCCATTTAATAGATGAAGGAATGAAACTCACTTGTTCTAGGTCACACAAAGGGGAGAGCTAGGATTTGAAGCCTGCTCTAGCCAACCTCAGAGCCCACCCTGTCCCCACCACCTCCGTGCATCCATGTCTCCTTGCAGAGTCCTCCTTGCAGCCCTGAGAGTCTCTGCGGATTTTCCCCATTGGACAGATATGGCAACTGAGGCTCAATGAACTGGCGGCTCTTCTCTCACCTGATGATGAGGAAAATCAGGAGCTGAGAGACAGAACTGCTAGTGGAACCACCCAGACAGTTACTTAGAGCAGTTTTAAACATTTCTCAGGGTGGATAGTGAAATTAGTCCAAGGTCAAGAGCCAGGAAACCTAAGGCTTGAGTTCTGTCTCTGCCCCTAATTGTCTCCCTTCTCTGAGCCTCACACCGTTATCCTCAATAGAGGAACAGTCTGAAACTGGATAACCCCAAAGTTTGGTGGCTCTGTTTAAGAAGTCATTCCTGGGTCCCTGAAGCTGTGCCATCCCTCTTACCAGGACAAGTTGCAGAAGGGAGTCATCGCTTCACTTGGGCATTCACTCACTGGACCAACATTTGTGAAAAACCTGATATGGGCTGAGGCCCTGGGCTTTACATGATATAGACAAAAACCACTCTTCCTGCCCACAGGGAGCTCACAGTTTGTAAGGACACTGACATAGAATTGGTCAGGACACAGTGTGGTCATCACTTGAGTTGTAGAGTGTACAGATGCAGGGAGCTCTGGACAAGGAGATTCTAAGTCTGTGCTGGGGGCACTCTGGCTTCCTCTGGACTGACACTTGAAGGGTGAGGAGGAATTTTCCAGGCCAACAAACATTTGGAGGAAGGGGAGGGAGAGAGTGAGTGTGTGTGTGTTGGGGCATAAGAGGACAGGAAGGGAAGTGCTCCAGACACAGCACAGAACAACATGTGCCACTGGGGAGGGACAGGGGACCTGGCTTATTCTGGGACGGCCTGGTGCTTGTGCAGCCCGAGCACGTGAGATGTGTGTGTGTAATGATGAAGGACAGCAGGCAAGGGCCATATGATAATGAACCCTGACTACTGGCACAAGATTGTACCTCTCAGCAGTGGAGAAGTGTTGAAGAACTTTGGGCAGGGGAGTGTTCCAGTCACTGTGTTGAGGGTACTGGAAGAGAGTCCCGGGGGGCCAGGAAACCAGCAAAGAGGCTGGTGCTATCACGTGCGTGCCCATACCACTGTGCCAGGGTGGTAGCTGAGGTCTTCTGTTTGTTCACTCACTCTCCCAAGGACCAAAAAATGCCTGAGTGAGGTACTGGGGTAGGGTGAGAACACTGCTCAGCAAGGCCAGAAGGCCAGTGTCTAGGAGGACTTACCCGCGGTCTCATTCCTCAGGCTGGAGAGAATTCCAGTGGGAAATGCTGGAAAAACTTCAGCTCCCTGGGCCTCCACTTCTTTACCTGTGAAATGGGGATAGTAATTATAATCATGACAGCAATAATTTCTGAACCCCAAAGTGAGATGGCAGAATCACTGAAATGATAATTATTCCAATCCCCCTGTGCCCCTACCTAAGGAGAACTAACTAGGGATAAAGGGGGTGTTCTAGGTGCTTTACTTAAATAAACAATCCTTACAGCAGCCTGTGAGATCATAGCATCATCTCATTTTACAGAAGGTGAAGTTGAGGCACAGAGAGGTTAAGTACTTTGCTTAAGGTAATACAGGGCTTGAGTCACAATGCTCCATAAGCCATTCCATGCACTTAGCAACAAATTCCATCACAGTCCCTCCTCAACTGTGGGTTTAGAGGAGCTCCTGCAGGCAAAGAACCTCTTAAAAACCACCAAGTGCTTTGGGAAAGAGAAACAGTATAGCCCACACCCAAGAACACAAACTGAGCTTCTTAAGCAAAGAAAGACTCCCTGTGAGGAGGGGGCATTAAAATGGGAAGGCCCTATGATTCCGTAACTCACTTCGTGCTTAGATTGTGCTAAGTCGCTTGACTCTTTGCGACCCTAAGTACTGTAACCCTCCAGGCTCCTCTCTTCATAGAATTCTCCAGGCAAGAACACTGGAGTGGGTGGCCATGCCCTCCTCCAGGGGATCTTCCCAACCCAGGGATGGAACCCGTGTCTCTTGTGTCTCCTGCATTGGTAGGCGGGTTCTTTACCACTAGCGCCCACCCTTACTTGTTAGGAATCCCCGTCTCTTCTTCCTGTGTGATCTTGGGCAAGTTGGCTCACCTCTCTGAACCTTCATTTTCTCATTAGTAAAGTGGAGGCAAAGACACCCCCCCTGTCGGGTCTGTGGTTAAGGACGAAGGTCCACTACACAGGTAATGAAGGGGGCTGGGCGAGTGGGACGCGCTGAGTTGGTAGTATTGGGTGATTTGCCGGCGTCGTCATCAAACCGGGGAGGCAGAGCCCTAATGGACCCATCGCTCCCGTTTGGCGGCTGGCGATTGGGTCTGGGGGGAGCCGTTGCTGGGCGATGAGGGTACCACACCCCGCTGCCCCCACCCCGTACTCCCGCGCAGCGGCCCGACGGAGTCACCTGCACGCTGGGCCCTTCCTTCCTCCCAGCGCGCCTCCGGAGCCAGAGCCCGGCCCGCCCTCCGTTCCCTCCGCCCCCATCCGCCGCGCCGGGGACCGCCCCCGCTCGCCCGTCCCGTCGCAAGAGGCCCTGCCTACGGGCCTCTCCCGCGCTCCCATTGGCCCGCCCGCGGCCCCCGCCAGTGTTTGTCCCGGCTACCCCGCCGCCCATTGGCCATCCCGGATCCTCCCAGGAAGTTTGAAAAAAAAAAAAAAAAGTTTTATGGGCGGATGGAAGGGGCCGGGGCAGCGCCGGGGAAGGGAAGGGCCGGGAGGAGAGGCGGCTGGAGGCCGAGAGGGGCGGCGGCGGCGGCGGGATTCCCGCTCCGCTGAGCCCAGCCCGAGAGCCCTTTCCACCTTCCTGCCTCCTGCTCTCGCCGCCCCGGGGTGCCAACATGACGGTGAGTGCTCCCCCCACCGGAGGTGCAGCCCTTCTGCACCCCCAGGCCGGGAGGAGAGCGACAGCCGGAGCCAGAGCTGCGCCGCTCCCCTCTGGGCAACCCCCTCCTCACTTCCCGGAGGCGAAAAGAGGTCTCGGCCGGAAGAAGGGCGACTCCGGCCACATGGGCCGGCTGTCCTGCCTCACCTTCCCCCGGCCTCACCTTTCCGAGCCAGGAGCCCGGGCAACCCCCACCCCGAGAAGATGGGAACTCTCGCTCTCAGGCACCACCCCCTAACTTTTGCCGGTCCAATCATGGACAGATTCGGGGTGGCCCTCTCCCCTTCTCTTCTCCAGCTCCCCTTAGTGAAAAACCTGATCTGATTCCCCCAAGTTGCGCCAGATCCGTAAGGGTCTCCCAAGGTTCTGAGTCGCGGGAGGAGCGGAGATGGGCCGGGCCTGGCCTGGGTCTGGGTCTCGCCAGGGGCTGGAGAGAGGCGTTCCCTTGGTTGAAATGGGTCTCGCTGGTGCGGGTCTGGGAAGCCTGTCCGCCCGTGCGGGCGCTGGGCACAGGTTGGCTGGGTGAAAGGGGGCCTCTGGAGCCCATCCTGGGACTTCTGAAGTAGCAAGATACCGTGCTTTCCCGGGCTTGCCACTTCGCAGTGGCTCTGGGACCTTGGGTGGGGCGGGCCAGCGATTGGGAGTGAGGAACGCGGTGGCGGGGATTTGTCTTTCTCTTGGGGATGAGCCATACTCAGCCTCTATCAGTACTTGTGCCTTGATTATCATATTGCGTCTCATAGCTGAGTTCACCAGTAGCCCCGTTTCACAGTGTAATAAACTGAGGCTTGGGGAGGGGCGTAGGTGAGTTGCCAGAGGTTACCCTGAGTGTAAGGGAAGGAGTAGCCCTTTTCCAGGTCACTCTGGCTCCTTGACTGTGATGTTCTGGAAGGGAGGGGCAGGATTGCTTTTGGTTTCTGGCAGGCGCCTTAGGGAGGCTCTGACAGCCTGGAGAGGAGGCTTGGGGGGAGTTGAGCAGCGTGGGTGTGCACCGGGCCCCTGCCTCCTAAGTGCGATGACCTGCTCACTGCCTGGACTTCCTCAGCCTCTGCACATCCTGCCACCTCTGCTGGCCCTTCCTGTTGTCAGCAGCCTCCCCTCCCCTATCAGGGAGTAGAGAGGGATGTGGGGGGAGGAGCTGAGTCAGTGTCTTCCACAACCCCCCCATCCCTGCCTTAGGCTAGTGGAGAGTGGTTGCATTGCCTACGGGGTGCCTGCCAGGCCCTGAAACTGGGTGCTGTCACATTACCAGCTTGGATCCCTGCAGGTTGATGGTAACTCCCTGTCTCGCTGGTTCATACTGTAGGTAGTGAACTTACGTGCTCTGGGTGACATGGCCCGGCCCTGGCTGAGCCAGAATTTGTAACTCGGTCTGTCCCAGTTTTGTCTCAGGATCAGATAAATGTACATAGTTGCCTTTCCTGGGGAAGCACATGCTGAACTTGGGTAAGACTGCTGGAAGCAGCTTGTGGGGACTCATCCCTGCTGGTGGGAGGAGGCTCCCCTAGGGAAATGACCTCCTGGGACTATAGGACTTTGTCAAATGGAGAGGGATGGGGGATTGGGTGGGGGTACAGTGTGGACCAAGGCTGGTGGCCGTATTTGGGGAATGAAATGGTGAAACGTAGAAAAAGTACTTGGGAAGGAGGGCCTCAGAGGCCAGGAAGAGCAGCTTGGGCTTGTTCAGGGACACTGGGGAGCCATGAAAGGTTATGGAGCAGAGAGGAGGCTCGTATTGACCTTTGACACTGTTTACCGGATTCATCCTGGCTGCTCTCAGACCTGAGCCCACTCCAGGCTGGTGTCCTGCCCATTGCTTCCTCACATCCTCTTCCTCTCTCCTGGCCCCATCTCCCTGACTTCGGACTCAGAAATCTGAACGAGTAAGTGGCAAAGGTGCTATGAACGTGTAAATGCTTAGAGGCTTCAGGAAGCTGGGCCTGGAGTCAGGCTCTGCTCCACCTCCTTTTGCCTTAGCTGGGTGCAGCCTTGCCCCTGGAGCTTCATCCCCAGCTGGCTGCCTGGCATCAAATTATATACCTGCTCACTTGTTTATTGTCTGTCTCTCTCCAGAGTTCCACCAGGGCAGGAGCCGCATCTCTTATTCACCACTGATTTCCTGGTGTAGAACAGGAAATTTTTTTATTTTTTTATTTTCAAAAAAATAAAGAGAGAGAGATGAAAAGAAAGAAGGGAAGAAAGAAACTTGTATGAATGTCCTGAGTCCTAAGATCTTGGTGGGGGTGGTGAATAGCATGTGTCCCTGATGGAGTTGCTTCTGGTCTAGCCTGTGAGGGATAAGTGAGTGGCTTCAGGACCATCACAGATGCCACAGAGGCCCTGGGAAGTCATCTGGTGTGGTGTGTACCAGGAAAGGCGCCTCCGAGGTGGCGATGAAGCCAGGTCTCAAGGCATGAGAAGGGGTTTGCCTGGTTGAAGGAGGTGGAGCAGGCCTTGTGTTTCAAGCAGAGGACATAGGTGTGTGTGGAGGGCCCCAGTCCTGGTGTGTTGGGGATCGGAGAGGAAGTGTGATGACGTAAAACATGGGGCCCCCTAAGCAGGAGTGAGGCTGAGGCTTTCGGGCTGTCCTGAGGCAGCCGGACCTTGTTCTGAAACCGCCCCGGAGGGTTTGAGGAGGGCCTGTGACACTAGGCCTTTCGGAGCAGGTCCCCTGCCAGAGCGTGCATACAGGGGGTGGTGTCCATGGTCCAGGCTGGCTTGAGGCAGAGTTGACCTGTGGTCAAAGGAGGGAGGGCTGCTGTGAAGTCCTATCAGTGCTCTGGAAGGAAAAGGGAAAGGGAGCTTCATGCAGGTGGAGGGAAGGTGTCTGGGGCTGAGGAGCCATGTGTGAAGTTACAGGGGGCAGAGAGTTAGGTTCTCTGACCTTTTGACCCTTGGGGGCTTCCCAGGTAATTGCAGGACCTCGCCTGCCAGCAGGTTTAAAAACTCACACTGGTGGCCTTCTCTCCCCAAGGTCACCATGCCATCTCATGCCTGACAGCATGTGTGTGATATGTGGGTACCAGTGTCTCTGTCTGTAGCCCATTCAGTTCTCTCATGGAACCTGGGGGAGGGCAGGAACCCCCCTCCCCATCATTTGCCACATCAAGCATCTGGGCTTAGGGAGGGGATGTGACTTAGGAAGGCCGCTCTGCTTCCCAGGCAGCCCTTAGGGTCCCAGCCTGTCATTCCTGCCCTTCCTCAGCCTCTGGAAGCCCGTGACTCTCCCAGCCCCGCCTTGGCTGTCTTGATTGGCTGGGTGGTCAGCTGGTCCTTCCCGGGGGGCTCTCCCCAGGTCTGCACAGTGATGCCAGCTCTGTGGTCCATCCTAAAAAGCCTGGCTCTTCAGCCGCCAGGAGGTGGGGTGGGAACGGCCTCCAAAGCACAGGAATTTAGATCAGAGAGGTAGAGGAGGGTGGATATTTAATCAGCAGGTTTCCCCTGGGGTCACAGCATGCCAGGCCCTGAGGCCATGGGAGGCCCCTGTCTGCACGTGGACCCAGATGACTTGGTGGCCCTGAGCGTGGCTATTGGTCTTCAGTCTGAGCTTGGAACCACCCTGGGCAGCTTCCGGCCCACGTGGGGAACAGGGCGGGGAAGAGAAAGCAGACAGGGCGTACACAGCCTGGGGTTTCCCAGGTCTGAGCAGGGCCTGTGTCCCTTCCGTCAGACAGATCTGCGGGGAGGGGCTTGATGCAGGGGTTGGGCCGCTGGCCTGCCGAGATCCAGGGGCCCTGGTCCCAAGGCCATGGCTGGGGATGGCTCAGGATGTCCAGGCTGCTGGCCCAAGCCCCTCTCAGGCCGCTTCCTCCACCGGAGGAAGAGACTGGGGCTTCCTCCGAGGAAGGCGGGTCAGGGCAGGTGGCCAGGTCAGGTGGCTCCAGTTGCCAGGTTTCCAACCATTGTCGCTGCCCACCCCACTGAGCCATGCCATCCGCTGCCTCCACGCAACCAGACACCTTGGCCTGGTGGAGCTGTGATGCAGGTGCTGATAGGTGG